TTTTTCAGAACTTTTCTAAAAGTCATTGAAAAGTCACAGCTTTCCCAAGGCTGGATTAGGTGAACGTCTATAATATTTTATACTGCTTTGTATGGCTTTTCTCTTTGTGGATCATCTGTTAATAAAAGGACATCATCTGTTACTTTATTTTCTGCCTTTTGTAATGTAATGTGCTCAGAGGCATAGAGAGACATTCTTTAAATCCATGGAAATAAATAAATGTGAGTGAAATATGCAAAAAGACTATCACTTCAGATACTAGTGAGAAATATTTTTGAAAACTACTGAACCTACAGATACTACTGCCTCTGCTGTGCTAGGATAATTTCAAATATTGCACTGCAATCACAAAAGTTTTCTTTAGTGGATTGGCAAGTACAGTAAAATACTTTGATCTCTAGAGTGACCATTGTTTCAGTTGTGTGCATGTAAAGAATCATGATGGCATAAAATCAGTATAAGTGATTTTCATATGAAAATCTGCAGAGATGAACTAAGGCAGAATGCTTTACTGATTAATAGAATGCACTATATAATGGCAATATTTTATGTCATTAAAATAATGTTTTGTATTTTATATTTATTGTCTATTTCTTTTGGTTGTTAGAAAAAATAATGAAGGACAAAGATTTTTAAATGTATTGATGTTTATGTATAAGATGAATGTCATTCTGGTTACAAGCCTGCTAACATTTTCTGATGTTTTTTCATGAGATTGCATTTATATCCTAATTTGGATAACTGTGTGGAATTAAAATAATAGGTTTTCCTTTATGGTTTTCACTTTAAATAGCAGAGATTCATATTTTGTTCCAAAACAAAAAATGAAAAGAAAAACAAATCTGGTTTGCCTTTGTGCTTTTTTCCAATTTATTTATTAGTGTTATTATTTTGTGCTATTATATTGTTTAATAATATAACCAGTAAAAGTTTGAAGTGCATTTTGATAAGTGCCTTTTGTCTCTGTAATATGGCTAAAGGTAGTTTATTTTCTATGCAGTAGAACTGATTTAAAGTCCATTTATTTTCTATGCAGTAGAACTGATTTAGAATACTGTTGAATTTGCATACATACATTGTTAATTTTCAGTGTGGGAGAATTTTGTGATTGCTAGAAGATCAACTGACTCATACGTTATTTCTACCCTCTCTGCTATCATATTATGATGAGTCTCAGCAAATAATTCCACTAGAGATATGTGCTTTGTTTTTCAATAGAATCCTGAACAATGCTAATCAAGCAGTTTGACAAACAGAATAACAAATTCTTGGCTTTACCATCATAATTAGTATTCTACCTTTTCCTGGAAATACTTGATATAATTTGCTTCTGCTGAAAGAAAAATCAGGTCTAGTTCCAAGCTGGAAATAAAATGGAAGCTGAAAGTCTGTAGAGATTCTCATACATGCAAGTCATGGTTGTCCCAAAAGTGCTTTTTCAGGAGGCAACTGAACTTTCTTGTTTTTTTCTTTAAAGACGTTTCGCTTCTCATCCAAAAAGCTTCCTCAGCTCTGACAGGATAGTGGTGTGGTAGTAGGAATGGATTTCCAGAGAAAAAAATTGCAGACTACAGGTGACCTGAGGACACAGATAAACCACCAAGTGCTTCAACAACCCTCTAAAAGGATGCAAATGACCAGCTGTCTGCAAAGAGTATAAATTCTTTCATTCCCCACTATCCTGTCAGAGCTGAAGAAGCTTCTTGATGAGAAGTGAAACGTCTTCAAAGAAAAAAAACCAGTCCAATTGCCTCCTGAAAAAAAATCACCTTTGGGACAAAATGGAAGCAGCATAAGAAAGAAAGTTTATTGATGAGTAAAATCAATAACAGCATGCAGTACTGGGACGGCTGACAAACTAGCTTGATGAGTGCAAAGATTTTTTATACAGTTTACAGTATTTTGTAATTTTGATATTTGCTTTGTGTGCTTTTTTTACTTGACTGGTTTAAATTCTTTGGCAAAGGCTCTTGATGGGTCTTAATTATCGACTCCCTTGGTCCTAATCCTTTCAGGCATGTGTAATTGATTTTGTCATGTTACTGTATGTATTGCCTCTAGCCTGTCAACAGGTATTCTTTTCCACTTTTCTCAATGAATGAGGTTCCTTAAGTTACCGATTGCAACATTGTTTGTCTTTCTAATTTCCAATTTTCATATAGGTTTTCCCCTTCTAACTGTTCAGAGAAAGTATAAAAATGTAATTTAAAATAAAAAATAGTTGGTAGTTGTTTACCCCAAAATTTGGAAATATAGAGCTTGAATCTTAATGTGTTACCATCATATTTTAACTATACCCAAGTATAGGAACATGTTTTCTACAACACATTTTGATGTTCTGCCATCTCATTTCCTAGATGGGAGATTTAATAATAATCCTTTTAATAGTACCCCCCTTTTTTTCTTGTGATTCTAGAATTGTTAAACTAGTTACCTCTCATTATCAAATCTTATAGTTTTGCATAGAGTTTCAGGTAATGACTTAATTTCATCTTTTTTATTTCTTTTTGTGATGTCAAATAATTTTTATGTTGCTTTTCTTTTATTAGATGAAAAGCTTACTCTGCTTCTAAGGGGAAGTAATTAAACTCAGTGATCTAATAAATGAAGGTCACCAAAAAGTGGTAGTGGAGTCTAGTAATTTGGAAATAGATGATCTATTCTATGCTTCCATTTTATGTACATATAAATTTACACAGTGTTTGGAGGGTGGGGACCAGGTTTTAAACGGTTGTGTAGATTGTCATGTTATAGTGCAAAAACTGTGAATTATACTTATATTCTCTGAGAACCAAAGTTATTTATTTCCAGTTCAGCTGCGAAATAAATGAAATCATTACAAGTTAATTTTTTTTTCTATGGTAAGACTCCAATTTGTTATTGGAGAGTTTTGCATCACTTTTCTTTTGAACTCCTTTAGGTCCTTCATCTCTTCTCTAGATCTGTATGTATTCATAATTATATCAAGTTACTTTTTAAAATTTTATATATATAGCCAGATGTTTGGACTGGATTTAGCATTTTTGTCTACCTTGAGTCCTTTCTAAAAACCTAGGACAGGCAGATGTGTGAAATCACAGAATGTAAGTTGTTCCAAGTAAAGCTGCCTTTGCAATTGACTGGTGGCGATTTTGTCAATGTCGATAATGTTCAAATGTTGTTCCAGATTATTTTGGAATTGCACCCAAGGAGCCTCTTACTATCAGTACTATCTTTGCTTTCTTTCAAGAATGAAGGCGAATATATATGTCCCAGGATAATGTTGCAGGATCCAATCTGGGCCAGTTATTGGAACCAGAATCTTCTGAACTTTTGGATTCTTTATTGAACCCATCTTCAGGGAACATCTCTCTTTGCTTTCCTTTGTCATAGTTGTCCAATTTCTATTTTCAGGTCTTCTGTATTTTGTGATTTTTCTCCAGTTTTCTATTCTGTGGTGTCCACTATCTAGACTTTTTTGTCTTTCTTGTCAACAGAAAGTTAAGTCTGAAGTATTATGTGGCAGGTACTTGTCTGTTTAAATTCTAAAGTTCTAGAGCACTTTAGTTTTTTCATAGCAGTCTACTCCAAAACATTCTGGGTACTTAATAGCATACAATATGTACAGCTAAAACAGTAAAAAATATATCAAAATATAAGATAATAGCCCAGACAAGAAAATAGTCATAACAGTCTAAAGAACATTATAGCAGCTCTATAGAGATACTACTTTCTGACTTCACGAAAAGGTCAGGAAGATAAGGATTATCTGTATCTCTTGGAGGGAAGCTCTTCTACAGGTATTGAATTGAATTGAATTTATTGCATTTATATGCCGCCCTTTTCCCTGAAGGGGACTCAGGGCGGCTCACAATCCAAGTCAGGGAAGGGGATAAAAAAAGACGAACAGAACAATACACAATTTAAAAGCACACAACAACCATACCATTCGAGGGGGGGGGGGCAAAAGCTCTTTAGCCCCAGGCCTGTCGGAACAGCCAGGTTTTAAGGGCTTTGCGGAAGGCCCGGAGGGTGGTGAGGGTTCGAATCTCCACGGGGAGCTCGTTCCAGAGGGTCGGAGCAGCCACAGAGAAGGCTCTCCTCCGGGTAGTCGCCAGTCGGCATTGGCCGGCGGATGGAATTCGGAGGAGGCCTAATCTGTGGGATCTAATCGGTCTATTGGAAGTAATTGGCAGCAGGTGGTCTCTCAAGTACCCAGGTTCAATACCATGAAGGGCTTTATAAGTGACGACTAGCGCCTTGAAGCGTATCCGAAGACCAATAGGCAGCCAGTGCAGCTCGCGGAGGATAGGTGTTATGTGGGTGAAGGTAGTCCTTCACTTATGAAACAATTGAGCCCAAAATTTCTGTTGCTAAATAAGTTGTTGAGTGAATTTTCTCCATTTTACGATCTTCCTTGCTACAGTTGTTAAGTGAACCATTGCAGTTGTTAAATTAGTAATATATTTGTTAAGTGAATCTGGCTTTCCTGTTGACTTAGCTTGTCAGAAGGTTACAAAAGTGATAATGTGGCTCTGGGATACTGCAATCATCATAAATATGGATCAGTTGCCAAGCATCTGAATTTTGATCATTTGACCAGGGGATGCCGTAACAGTCACAAATGTGAAAATCAGTCATGTCACTTTTTTCAGTGTTGTTGTATTTTATTCCAATTCCATTTTAAATTGTATTTCATCAAATTTCATTTTATATTGCTTTTATCAAATGTTAGTTATGATATGCTTCTGGAACTTTGCACTTTGATATGGCTCAAGGGCTAATTAATGAAGACTCAATGCCAATGTTGTTGTAACTTTTAATAGTCACTAAATGAACAGTTGTAAGTTGAGGATTACTTTATAGTAGAGGAAGCATTTTCCTCAGTTCCACAAGATTACCATGTTCAGTTGAGGGTACCTAGAGCATGTCTATTCTACATGAACATATTGCTTGGAAAAAAACAATTTGAAACAGGCAGGATACATAATTATGTGTTCCTTTTGTTTTATCTTCATCAGCTGAAATGAATAACCAGCAGGAAGAATCACAGAGGAAAAATGCAATCTTAATTGATGGGGTTGTTTTAAATGGCCCAGCAGCAGACTCAAAATCAGGCGAGAAATTTGTGGAAGAGGTCAGTAAGATAATAATGGAAGAAGTGGTAAAGAAAGCATCTGATGCAACTGAAAAGGTAAAAATTGATGAAATTGGAGCAGTGTCCTCTAAGTACATGATATAATTGAGATTAATTATCTAAATCATGTTTCTCACCCTGAGCAACTTTAAGAGATCTGGACTTCAAGTCCCAGAATTCGCCAGCCAGAGTTGAAGTCCAAACTTTTTAAAGTTGCTCAGGATGAGAAAAACTGGTCTAAATTTAAAAAAGCAAATTATTAACTCAGTAATCATATTAATACATTTGTTTTTATGTCAAAGTACATTGCTACTGATAAATGTAGAAACATTTTGATATAATACTCATAATTAAATGTACTGAATTTTTAATAACTAGAAATGTTTTCCATATCATGTCTTTACCTCTTAATTTCTTGGATTTAGTAGTAGAGGAACTTAAAATTCAAATATTGTTGTTTGTAATCTTCTATGTTTGTGCTTAAATTATTTGTAAATCTAAAACATTTTGTAAAAACTATAAAAAAAAGTTTCTCAGATATATTGAAATTCTAACTAAACCAGATTTTTTTTTTAAAAAAAATTGAATTTACCAGAAGATTTTACAAATTATTTAGGACACAGCCTGATTAACTTTTAAATTCTCTCATCATCAACATTTCTTTCCAATGACTTTATGCAGGTCTGTGAATGGCAATCTCCTGAGAAACTGAGAACTCTTCTTGACCTGGAATTGAAAGACACAGGAGAGAATCATCCCAAACTCTTGCAGTTATGCCAGGATGTTATACAATTCAGCGTCAAAACCTGTATGAATCTCATATTTACAATTTTTTTTTGTCCTTCTAATTGCAATGCAAGACTGCTCTTGCTTATATTTATTTAGAAAAATGTAGCAATTTGGCTTTTCTAGTCAAATGCAGATGTTGGAATGAAAAGAAATGGTACGTCTACATAAAAGGCTACTTCAGATGTATTTTCATCATTTAATTTATATGATGTGGACCTTTATTAATATCTACCATTCCTTTTCTTACAATTCTGATTTAACATCCTGGAGACTGTTAAATCAGAATTTTATTTCAGATGTAACAATACTTGCTTTAAATGAAATAAAATCTTCATGTTGAAGTTTTTGTGCTGAGAGAGAAAGAAGGATAAAATAAAATCTAAATACTCTTTCCTATTTCCATAAATACTTATGAAACTTGGAGTTTACATCTGAAATGGACCACTGATCTGGTCTAAAATTATTCTACCTTCATGGTAATTGCTGATGGATTTTCAATCTCTGCACCTATTAAAATAATATAAAGAATTATTCATTGCATGAATGGAAGTCCTACTGTGATGAGTTCCTCTGAAAAAATTAGTGGTTGGTGATCATGGTGACCCAAAACATGTTGAAAATTAATAAAAATAAAAAAAATTCGTAAATGAATAGCAAAGTTAATAAATAAAATTAGATTATTAAAAGTGAACTTTTAAAACATAGTGTGAAATTCAGGGCATGGTTGTGACAAAGTGTGAATGTCTCCCTGGGAGAGGAATGAATTGTCTATGGTAATTGAAAAAGATAATTTGGAACATACAGTGGCATTTGCAACTAAACATTTTACTGTTTATCTTCAAGCTCTGTTGAATAGCTATGTGAGTGCATTTTTATTAGTTTCTTAAATTGAGTTTAGTGTCTACCTATGATTTGTTTTATTTGAAATTGTTTTCAACCTGTTCATTTTGCACAATTCTAGACAGTTTATAGGAACAACAAATATATCCCAGATCATCTAAATATATGTGCTCAAAAATGTAATGATGTTAGAATGTTAGAAATTCTAAGTATGGAATTTAGGAAGCAAGAAGAAAAAGGGCCTGGAACCTAGTTGCAGACAGGTTAGCAGAGACAGGTTATCAAAGATGTAATGTGATAGAAAGATGTTGAGACCATTGGATAACAAGTAATACTTTTTAGTATTCCTGCTAATTTTAACTATACTAGATTATCTCCTTTTTATGCTTTATCTGTATACAGTAAACATGGATATAATTTAAAATGTGTTGGGGATCTACACAATATAAAATGTTTACAGAAGCCAATTTTCCCCTTAAGATTTCTGATTGCAGTTATTAATCAGCCCATACAGACAATATTCAACATTTTTCCATGTTTGTTTGATTTTGGCTTACTATCTTAGGGGGAATTCAAGTCACTGTGACTTGTAATCCACAAGCCTATGGTTTAGTGCAGTATGTGACTATCAGACATTGGTACCATATTCAATAATCTATGTTTGAATCATGATTGAGTATAATGCTGATATCCTGCTATTATATAAATTGTAAATTAGGTTTCACTAATACATGTCGCTTTAATTGTCAGAACCTGTAAACATCTTGAAAGTTATAGTCTGTGGCCAGGAGATTTTAATACCTATGATTAGCACCTCATTAAACAAGAATCAAAGTACTATCGTCAAAACAATGTTTATTTTAGTAAATAATGGGAGTGATCAAAAGGTTAATTACCTTTTTGGAAAATATGGCTAGCTAATGAGAATTCACAGCGATTTTCTGAAGATAATAAGACGACTAAAGAAAGTTATTAGTCAATATTCACATAAAAGGAGCACTTAATTATATAGCTGTTTAGACCACTTTTATAAGAACATTGACTAATAATTCCTTTATCACTTAGCTTAACACGTCTATAAGTAAACTTTAAACAAGTTTACTTTTTTATTGAAAAAAGATATCCAGCTAGAGCACCCATTAATATTACACTATTTATTAATTTGTGAAAGATTCAGAGGTAACATTTCTAAATCTATATAGTATTTTTGTTGAGATGACCCAAAATAGGTAGTCTGTGATCTGTTTTATCTGAACAATTACATAAAGATTTTTGATGCTATTTTATTTATTGTGTAAAGCCTTTAAGCCATCTCTGTGTAAAATAACCTATTTTAATTGCTTATTCTCTAAATGTTTTGAAAAAGACATAAAATAGAAATTATAGGAAAGTCAAATTCAAATCTTTTGTGATATTATTTATTAAATTATGGACCATTTATACATCTCTTAATATATTTCTGGAAGAGCTGACACTATTAATATTTTTTATAATTTAACAAAGTTGGAAGGGACTTGGAAGCCTTCTAGTCCAACCACCTGCTTAGACAGGAAATCCTATACTACTTCAGGCAAATAGTTATCCAACATCTTCTTTAAAACTTCCAGTGTTGGAGCATTCACAACTTCTGGAGGCAAGTTGTTCCCACTGATTAATTGTTCTGTCGGAAAATTTCTCCTCAGTTTCAAGTTCTCTCTTTGATTAGTTTCCATCCATTGTTTCTTGTCCTGCCCTCAGGTGCTTTGGAGAATTACTTGACTCCCTCTTCTTTGTGGCAACCCCTGAGATATTAGAGCAGTGCTATCATGTCACACCTAGTCCTTATATTCAATTAAATAAAATGAATTAAAACTGAAAATTTTAAATAGGTAATTTGAGCACCATTCTTCTTGTACCAAATACATCTGGCTAAATTAAAATCTTACCAAGGAGTCATATACTTTATTGCATTATCAAATATAAAGTTGAAAAGAATAAAATCAGAAAATAAATACCGTAGGACACTTTCTTCCTTTAACAAGAGGAAGCTCAAATTGTAGTAGATACAGGAGGAATCAATCTCAAGTTCGAGTTTCTCTGTGCCTTTCACTCATTTCCTTTCCTTCTTTTGCTAATAAGAAAGTTTAGATTAGATAAAAAAATCTGACTGCAAATACCTATATTGGAGGCTGGGTTCATGCATCACATCTAAATTACTACATTTTTTTATTGATTGCTATAATGTATGAGCTCTGCAACTATGCTATAACAGTATGTGTGACTTGGACTACTTTATCTTTTTCAATGACCACTAATGCTAATCAGATATATGTCTTTGTCATCATTATTTACAGATCACCCAAGATTTTTTAATCAGCTCTATGCTGGTATTGATTATTACTCTTTAGCAGCACGTTTCATTACAGAGGCATTAAACCCAAGTGTGTAAGTGTATTTTGTTTTAAATCATGGTGCTGAATTTGCAGTGCTGTTTAATGGTGGCAGATCCTATTTCTATTAATAACATTGATGGGGTACATATTGCAGATATTCGGTGAATTGGTCTTTCAACTTCCTAAAGAGCCTAAATTTAATTTATAGAAGATTCTATGAATCTGATTAATTAGTGGAGTTCTGATTAATTGGTTTATTTTTAGTTTTTAGTTTTCTTCCTTCCTTTATAAGATAAAATGTTCCTTTAAATACTTTTTCTCTCATCTTTCCTGAGTTTATCTTTTCATAACTGTATCAGGCATTCTATTTAACCAGAAATCATTTGTCAACGGGACATTTAAATACAAGTGACCTTTTAGTGGCCATAGTTTAGTGACCAGCAGTGTCATTAAACAAATTGGTAGCTAAGTGAAACTATGACTATGCTTATGATTTTACTTTAGCTTTTATTATTTTATAGACCAGTGTAAGGCTTGGTCACAAAGTTATTTTTCATCACTGTTGTAATTGCAAGTGGTTGCAAAATGAGTAAGTTGCTATATGAGGATTACCTGTACAACATATGTATGCAAGTCTAGATGTTGTGTTCACGTTTCTTCCATATGGCATATATTGAGTATAAAATTTGATCCTATGCCTGCAGGCTTATTGAACTGTTAGATTTATTCAGACTTTCAGGCCAGTTGTTCCCTCCTACATACAGAGTGAGGATTCATTCTTTTATATGTATACCCATATAAAAAGATTGAAGAAAAAAATACTGCCCTATAGTTACCATTGTGTTTGGAAATTCAATTGAAAAGTGAAACCTTGACCTTCAGCTTTTAGTCCAGATCTCTGGATTCTCCAAAGAAAATACAAGAGAAACTCTCTTCCTGTGTAAATATATTATACTTGCTTATTTGTTTGTATCAGATACTTCATGAATATTTGTTTAAAGGCCTTTATTTCTCCTTTTGATTGGATTTTGATTTTTCAAATGAAAAAGTCCTTTGTCTCTTTATAATAATTAGAAGAAAATACAGTTTTTTTCAACTGAGATAGGATAAGGTCAATCTGGGAACATGTAACTCAACAGCTCTTAGAGCAATGTTTCTCAGCCATTGCAGTGTTAACATACCATGTATTTCAACTGCTGTTCTCTAGCCAGCAAGTAGAAGTCAACACATTTAAATTGCCAAAATTGAGAAATAGTATCTTAGACAAAATGAACTTCTTTCCTAGGAAACTCTCCTTTATTCAAAACCACAGTTCTCACAACTTATCACAATTTATTTTTGTCCATGTGTCCTCTCACTTGAATACTATGATAAGCTTGAGATCAGAGATGTCAAACTCAATTTCATTGAGGGTCACATCACCATTATGGTTGCCCTCAAAGGGCCATTTATATGTAAGACTATAATGACTCACAGAGGCGAGGCGGGTGTGGCTGGGTAGGCATGTCTGGCTGGTCACAGCCAGGTCACCACAACAAGGTAGCTATGGCTAGGTGTGTGTGGATGGACACAACTGACTCATGAGAGTAGGGTCAGGATGGAACAAGTCTCACCGGCTAATTCGACATTGTGGACAATTCAGTGGTCCACAATCTACTTGCTTCCCCAAAGTGCTGGCAGAAACACACACACACATACATGCACCGACAGCATTCTAAGTTTGGGAAGTTTTATCCACAAAGAAAGGAAAGAGCCTTCTCCCCAAACCCAGCCATTACTGGCAGTTTGCAAGCTCAGGTGTGAATAAAAGTCTGCAAGCTTGGAATGGTGTGTGCACAGCATATCAAAGGAGAAGGTTATTCTCCCTATCTCAGACATTGTTGGTGTTTCCTTGTCCAGTGCCCCCTCACAGCAAAGTAGGAGGGGGAGGATAATGTTGCAGCATGTGGAAGCATAGAAGATAAAGTTTGTAGGAAACAGTTTCCTCCGAGTCTAACCTCTGCCCTGACAGAGCTCTGGAGAGCAAGAGGAGGTGGCAGGGGAGCAGCATTCCCTGGTCCTGCATAAGGGAAGCTAGCCCTTCTTGAAAGGGAATCCCCATTTCTAATCATGTGTGGTAAGGATGCTTGTTGGGGCAGCTTTCCCTCACGCAGCTCCCTCACCACCCCCTTCTCCTCTCCAGAGATCTGTCAAGGCAGAAGTTGGATTTGGACAAATCTGCTTCCTGCAAACTTTCTCCTCCAGGCTTCCACACATAGCAGTGTTGTCCTCTGCCTCCTGTGGGGTGGTGGGGGCATGCAAGGCCTTGTGAGAGGATCTGGAGTCTCCAGTAGAGGAAGGCAAGACCAGATTGAGCACCAAAGCCTCAGTCACCAGACCCTCACTGCCACCCCCAAGCCACACGGACAACCTCGGATGGTGGCACGGGATGCCCATACCTTGCTCTGTGGAGGGCAAGTGCCCAGCCTAGCCTTCAAGCTCCTGGGGCACTGGGACTCTGCAGCCAAACCCAGCTCTGCTTCCCTGAAGGGGCATCTGGCCACGCTTACCTCCTCAAGGCTGCTGTTGCTGCTGCTGTGCTCCTTGGCCAGGTTGCTCATGGTGGGTGTGGGAGGGCAAAGTGCATGGTTCAGAGGGAGGCTCACGCCCCCTCCATGCAAAGAAACCTGCCTTTGTAAGCAAAGTATCCTCAGCAATAGGCTGGGAAGCCACCAGGGGAGGCTAGGAGGAGGGGCCAAGGGGATGGTGAAAGGGCAGCAGGGCTGCTGACTTCCCTCAGACCCCCCTCCCTCTCATTCCAATCTTCTTTTCTCCCTCCCTCTCTTCTTCCTTCCTCCCTTCCTTTCTTCATCTCTCCCTCCTTTTCTCCCTCCCACCCTCCCTCTCTCTGAGCCCAAGAAAGGATGAGGAGACAGGGAGAGGGTGGTAGTGCTGCTGCTGGTGGGTATTCTGTGGAGGATAAAAAATCAACAGGAATTAGATTCCAGATTCTAAAGGAATTGAAATAAAGGGCATACTTGATTAGAATGGGTGGAGAATCAGTTAATTACACCCAGCTTCTATTATGAATTTGGAAAATGAAGTGATAGGACTTGGTATTTAAAATTATCAAGATAGACTGGAGTGGTTTATATCTCAAGTTAAAATTTTATATCATCAATGTCTTTCAAATCTATTATAAAAATCTGGGCTGCACTAAAGAGTAGGAAAAAATCAATTATATACTCATTAATGCTATCTGCTAATTTTCATTTTCATTTCATACATTTAATAAAACAAAATTAAGTAAACAGTTTCATGTCACATTTTCCTTCATTCAGATATACCTACGAAATTTCTCCAGTATTTTTACTAGTGGAAGAAGCAGTCCTAAAGAAAATGATTGAATATATTGGATGGGAAGGAGGAGATGGTATATTTAATCCAGGTATGATGTTCGTTAATGTAAGAAATATGGCATTATTTACATAACAACCATATAATTTATACAAGTATAGAAGCGTCGTGTATTGTTGCTTCTGGACCACCCTGTTGCTTATAGTTGGTGGCTTGTAGTTCACAAGTTAGGATCAGGTTACAATGGCAATTGGAACCAGAACTGCCATTGGTAAGCAGTGCAGTTGTAAAATACAACATCACTTGCATTTAGTAATAGTAATCCCAGTTGTTTCAGTTGCCATTGTAATGGGTCATTAAGCAGGAAGGGATATAAATGCCAGGTAAAGAATATGGAGGTACCCAAGGGTGTAGGGATGGGAATGAGGATGGAAGGTTCCATCGGTGGTGATTGACCAGGGAAACTTCTGGGACAGCGATGGCAAACCTTTTTTGGCTCGCGTGGCATAAGCGGGGGGAGCACAGGGGTGTGTGTGTGGGCATGCCGCACCCATAATGCAATGTGCGACACCCCCCCAACGTCCATGTGCACATGACAGGTACAACACCCTTTTTTTGCATGCGCAACAGTCTCCCCCGGAAGCCTTCCGGAGGCTTCAGGAGCTTCCCTCAAGCCTCCGGAGCACAAAAAACCAGCACTAAGGGCAAACCAGAAGTTCAGGAACAGGCTTCCAGTTTGCTCGTAGGGCTGGTTTAAGCCCTCCAGAGCCTTCAGGGACCTTCAGGAGGCTTCCCTGAAGGCTCTGAGAACTAAAAACAGCCCTACGAGCAAACTGGAAGTCCTGTTTGTCCGTTGGGTCAATTTTCATCCTTTGGAAGCCTCCGGAGGGCCTCCAGGGGTGGGGGGAGGATGTTTTCGCCCTCCCCAGCTCCTATAAAGCCTCTGGCGCCTGGGGTGGGCGAAAATGGCTTTAAAAAAGGCTGAACTCAGCTGGCCAGCACGCTGGCCAGTTGACAGGGCAACACCTCGCATGCCCTGACAAATGGCTTCCATGCAATAGGTTCTCCATCCTGGTTCTAGGAGGCCTGGCAGACTGCATGGGCAGTGAAGTGATGTGGTGGGAGCTACTTACTGGAGTGAATTTTGACTTTCCTGTTGACTTTCCTCCATTGACTTTGCTTGTGGGGAGCCAACAGGGAAAATCACAAATAGATCATGTGACCATGGCTCCTTGCAAAGTCATAATCATGAGCTGGCATCCAAGCACCTAGTGAGCATATAACCACGGGGTGCTAACACGGCTAGAACTACAGGAGCTAGTCATACATCCATTTTTTTCAGTACCAATATACAGTAACTTTGAACAGTTGTTGAATGAATGAATGTAAGTCAAGGAATTCCTCTATTACAAAGTCGATTCTATTCTTTGAGTATTATGCTGTCTGAGACATAAATATTATGTTTGTATTCAAATGAGTTTCTCAGTATGTAAGAAGCACTTACAGTTATACAGCATTTACAGCCAGATGCTTGTAAATATACAATTTAGAATCTGAAATATTTATTAATATATGTAATGGTTTTTTAAGGTGGCTCTGTTTCCAATATGTATGCAATGAACTTGGCAAGATATAAATATTTTCCTGATATAAAAGAAAAAGGCCTTTCAGGGATACCTCAGTTGGTTCTGTTTACATCAGAAGAGGTAATTAATTTTTCTTACAACTTTTCTAGTATAGCACTTTTGAAAAGAAAAATATGCGTAGAAGGTTGCAAAAAGAACCAGGATACATGTATGCAGACATAAAATCAAAACTAGGATATTAAAAATGTTATGGCATGCAATATATAGTCTGACATTATGAAGTACTGATAAGATTTGAAAAGTCTTAAAAAGCTTTATTGCAAATATTTGGGCTTACTGAACCTTAGTTTCCTGAAGATCTAAACCAAGCTTTCTCCTGTGCACTGCTTGGAGAATCCAAGCATGGGCTCAACTTCAGTTTGTCTGCCCGGTGACTGAGTTAATTTTAGAGTCTTTAGCAGTGGTGGGATATGACTGGTACACCCCGGTATGGGCGTACCAGTGCCTGCTGGAAGCACCAGGTACTGTCCCAGTACAGTGCTCTGGAGGGCCAACCTGCCCGCCATCCTTACCTGTATTTGAGCCGATCGGGGCTTCCGTGTATGTGCACGGAGCATACAGCATCTGTGATGCTTCCCCGAGCAGCTAGAGCATCGCAGAGCTGACATGGAGGATTGCAGGTGGTAAGTACGCATGCGCGCATTGCGTATATGCTGCATGCATGTATGTGGTGGACGCCTGGCCCCGTTGCACCGTACTGGTTGCACCAGGATCCAGAATCCACCACTGGTCTTTAGCCATGCTTGATTGCCTCAGTTTTTCTCAACTCAGTCAAGCCCATAGTAGTGACAGACTCTCTTCCTCAGTCAATGAGCAGAGAAATTAAAGTTATTAACTTGGATTCTTCAACCATTTCTTCATTACAGCAGAAGATTTGCTCTATAGCAGCAGAAGATTTAAAAAATTGAATTGGCAACTCTTTGACAGCTGTCAAAGGCCCTTTGGCTTGGGCAGCACCTCAGGCTCCCAGAAGCCTTATACGAGGCTCGGAGCCGACAGCATAGAGTTGCCAAAGCTCCGTTTGAAGTTTAAAACCACTCCAGAGCAGCACAATGGCACTGCAGCTAGCAAATGGATCGGGTGAGCATCGGCTCTGGGCAGCAAGGGAATGAGAATCCAACACTACAGAGAGCGCGGCCGCCATTTTGGACATTGGAATTGGAATGGAATTTGGAATGGAATTTATTATTTATATGCCGCCCTTCTCCGGGAGGACTCAAGGCGGCGAACAATCCAAAAAGGGAAAGGGGAACAATTGTTTTGAATAGCAATTTTGAATAGCAAATTTGGCGCGCTCGCCATTTTGGCTGTCAGAGATTGCCTTGGACTGTCATTTCAGTGGCGATTTTCATCTTGTCAGGGAGTGTGCCTCAGGGAAGGCACAGAGAGAACCGTGCCTGGACTTTGCTTCTCCCTATCCGGCAGCTTGATCTGGTTTCCTAGAAGCTGCATATTAGAGACTTTTGCAGCCTGAAGGCCCCAGTCTACCACAGCTCCAAAGACTTCAAGTCAGTTGCAACCCAAGAAGCAGTGCCAGCGCCAGAGGCCTTGAACGAGACTGCTCGATCGCTCCAATCAACCCAACCCTGGGCTATTCCCTGTCCGAGTACTCAGTCAAAGGTCTGGTGAGGTTGTGGCAGAATTTCATATCTGCAGTTGATCGATCTGACCTGGTCCTGAGGTGGTAAGTGGGGTGTGCACAGTTGCCATCCTAGCTAACCATAGGAATGGCTGACTCGTGTCACGGGAGGAAGAACCTTACCAGGCCCATCCTCCATCCTATAGCCAGCCCCAAGGAGAAAGGTGGCTAATCCAAATCCTCCAGCAAGTCAGACAGGTTCAAAACTTCCTCTCATAAGTCTTCTACAACAGATAGAGATGCCAGCAGGTGCTTGAAGGCCTTTGAAAAACAATTTGCTAAGGCGCAAAAGGCGCTGATGGTTAATCCATCTCCCCCAAGGCAGGCTGAATCCACTTAGGTCAGGGATGAGGTATAAGATGCCCTTCCAGATGATATTTCAATCTCACAAGATTTCCAGGCAGCTTGTTTCGAGGAGAATTTTGCTCCATTTGAATGTTTTCCTGAGATACCTGAGGACTCTCCTAACGACCCCAGGCAAGAGGAGGCCACAGCCAACTCTAAGCCTACCTCAGCATGTTTCTCTGTAGAACAGCAGGAATTTATTTCCCAGGCCATAGTGCAAGCCATGGACTTTGCCTTTCAGCATGGGGTTACCTCCAGTAAACAGACAATTCAGGCTCCAGTCCAATTGGCGGCCGTCTACAAGCCCTCCTACCCCAGTGGAAGGAGATGACCACCGATGCCTGAGTTATCCAGATGGTGAGGCTGGGCCTCACCATAGAATTCCTTTCCCCTCCACCCCGCCACTTTCTGAGTTTCCCCACTCCCAGGAATCCTTTCAAGAGGCAATCAATGGAAACAGATTCGCTATCTCCTAGGCATCAAGGCAATAGAACTGGTTCAATTGGGTCAGGAAGGTCTAGGCTTCTATTCTATACTCTTCCTTATGCCCAAAAGCTCAGGGGTCGGGGTGGTTATGCAGAGCCATATTAGATCTCAAGAGGCTCAACTCCCATGTAGTGTACAAACGCTTCAAAATGCAGTCCCTAAATTCCATCTTGGGCAGCATTCGAGAGGGGGATTTACTCATGTCCATAGATTTCAGGGAGGCTTACCTACATGCACCCATCAGACCAGTATATCAAATTTCTTGCGGTTCCACTATGTGGGGCAGCACTTCCAGTATCATGCCATGCCATTCAGCCTGTCATCAGCCCCCAGGACTTTTACAAAACTGTTGGCAGCTGATCACGACCGGTGCGCATACACTATTATCTGGATGACATCCTCATTCAATCGTCGTCTATCAAACAGGCGCATCAGGAAGTGTGTACCACGATGCTCGTCCTATGGAAACATGGGTTCTCCGTGAACATCAATAGACTATTACATTTAGGGGCTGTGATTGACACTTCCACCTGTGAGGTTTTCCTGCCTCCAGACCACCAAACCAGCCTACGTCAGATGGTCTCGTCCATTCTAGCACAGCACCAGGTGCCACTGATACAGCTTTCCAGCTTACTAGGGAAAATGATCTTGTCCTTGTCGGTCAGGCCCTGGGCAGGTTTGCATGCACAACCATTGCAGTGGCTCCTACTTCCACATCAGCGAGCCAAAAGGAGCAACTCCAACATCAAGGTGCGCATCCCTCCATGAATCCGCAGTTTGCTCCGTTGGTGGGTCTCTCCAGCGATCAGGAAATGATCCCTCTTCAAGGAACCACATCGAGTGACATCAGATGCCAGCCTATTCGGTTGGGGGCGCATCCCCAGTCACAACTGTCCCAGGGGCGCTACTTAGAGGAAAAGCTGGAAAATAGCATCAACTGGCTGGAGCTGAGGACCGTACTCCTAGCCTTGCAACACTTTGAACATTGAGTGCAGACCAACATGTACTCCTGCTTACGGACAATGTGGCCACCAAGGCTGACATCAATTGGCAGGGGGACACTCATTCCAAGACCCTGATGCAGGAGGCGGAGAAATTGTGTCTGTGGGCAGAGACCAACTTGTTATCACTCTGAACCGAGCACATCTCAGGAATATCCAACACTCAGGCGGAGTGGCTCAGCAGGTCCACCATCGACCACACAAAGTGGAGAGTCATCCTCAACTCTTTCTACAACTCTCAGACATCTTCAGTTGTCCACGGGTGGACCTGTTCACCCGACCGAAGAATGCCCACCTGCTGAGGTTTTTCTCCAGGTTTCCGACGAGAGGTGCAGAAGGAACAGACGCCATGAACAGCCCTTGGCCACCAGGCCTCATGTATGCCTTACCCCTGCTCGCTTTCATTCTGCCAGATTATATGACAATGACCAAATTGAAAAAGGCAGCTGGTTGTCATAGTCTTCATATGGTTCATGTTTTCGTTGAGCAATCAAGCCAGGAACCATGGCTAAAGACTCTAAAATTAACTCAGTCACCTGGCAGACAAACTGAAGTTGAACCCATGCTTGGATTCTCCCACAGCTCACAAAGAACTACCATTCAGGTAAGACAACAGTCCTTCTGATACTTATCAACTTTAAAATGTCTTCTACTTCAATTCCCAGAAATCCCTTGAAATATGCTGGGTAAGTAGTCCATGTTGCTGAGTTCTTCAAGTTGCTCTCTTACAATACAGTTTTAATGAAGAAACCAATTCATTTTTTTTACAGAATACCAAGTTGTTACTTTAAGTGAAGGTTGGCTAATTTCAACTCCTGTTACAAATTAAAAATAAAAGAAAAGAAATAAATAGAAACCTAGGTTTTGCACAGCACTTTAACTCCCCTTTATATTCCTTTTATGATCTTGGCTGACTTTATTCAGAATCAGACATAATGATAAATAGTGTTGTCGGCTTACAAATGCCAGCATAAGACAGGATTAACTGTCCTCTCTTTTCTTCTCTCTCTCTCTTTCTCTCTTTTTTTTTTTTGCTTGCCTGTCTCATGCATATGCGATTAGAAGTGCCCATTTTCATTTTTCCCTAATTACATTTTCCCATTATATTTGGAGTAAGTGGTGCCTTTTTAAAGAAAAAAAAGAATAAATTAGGTTTTGAATCCTGAAAAGTTCAGTTCTCTTCCAAGCTTTATGATTCTGACTTTATGTCACTGTAGTTTTTGCTGATCTCTTATTATCTGAGTCTGAAGAAGTTTGGCATTTTACAGGAATAACTTCTTTCAGCTGAGCTTAATAGGTGAATATTAGAGAACTAATAAAAAGCTATTTTGTAAAAATCACTTGCAATTCAAATGAAACTCTGATGCCAGAATCCAAATCACTGCTGAGTACACTTGGCCCTCTGCAGGCTTATTTCATTATTGATGTAATTCAGTAACAGAAGATTAATTATCTATCTATGTATGTTATTCACAAAACAGCACCACTTAATGAATTCCACAGGCTTTCTGTCAAATTAGAAATGATTGGATGATGGTAGCTGATGGTATATTTATGCACTTCATTAAAAATAAGGGGGAAAAACTTCCTTGTCCAAAATGGAGGACCCACCATGAGTTGATTCATCTCATTAAAAAATGAGGCACTCTGAATAACTTTAATATATTCATAGCCACATATTGAAGTGCTGCAGATTTTTCATAATTATGTTCATTCGTAACTACATTTGTGTGAATTCTCTAGAAGAAAACTAAGTTAATTAACCACCTGGTTTCACTTACTGTATGCAAAGAAACAATTTAAGACTTTGTTCACCATTGTTGGCAAATATATTAACCCTTAAATAATACCAAATATTTGCTCTATTTTCTCCGCTTTTAAAGTGGCATATTTATTGTTCTATTGAAAGGACCTCAAGTCTCATAGACTTTGGGGATCATTTGAGTACTCTGTGAACCTCTGCAGACTTTTTGTGATTCATCACTGAGACAAAAATAACTATAAACGTGCAACTTTTGTGCTCTCCTTTATTAATGTGAAAGTTGTAAATCCAGAGCATTTCAGATGATCTATTTTTCTAGTTGTTTTAAAATAGAACCCAGTTTCTCCAAGAAATGCAATATAGATTAACCTATTTTTTATATTTATATGCATTAAATATGAAAGCCAATGTAAAACATAGAATCATTTTGTTTGATAGTCATGATTGATGAAGCACATATTATGATTTAGTGATAGAGCATGAAGGCATAGAGATCAACAATATGATTAAACTTCCGGACCATTTGGATGTTGCTGTTCCTTGCTTTTATTCTGAATGCCTTTGATGAAAAAAGTCCACTGATTTTGAATATTTCTACCTTTGAAATACTGTGCAAGTGGTAAATTACATATGCTCTTTGTTATTTACATGCTATTCTTTTTTCATATAAAATATGTTGCCATGTTTTCATGACAAAAGGCAAATTTTATATCCCACTGATTGAAAAATGAAGAAAAAAAACATACAGTTTTTGGTCAATATGTTCTTGTGGTCACATTTCAGAATCAGGAGCATCACCTTGAAATGATAAGAAAGGCTTTTGGGTCTGATAGAAGCTAAGCAGGAAGAAATAAAGATTATTTTGTTTTAAAAATTTGATTTGAAAAACATTCTAATATTTCATGATAAGCCTTTCAATGACTATTTAAAATAGTCTTAGCTTTCTCATGAGACTTACTACATCATGTTTTTTTTTCATATGTCTGTGAACAGCATCCTTTGTCAATTTTTTTATTGATTTGTAGAAAACCTACACATTCCTGGCTTTTTTCTTTTTTGAGGCATAGCTGGTTAATGTTTTTGTTCCCTCAGTTTCAGATATGGAGTACATATACTCCTTCATCAGAAAACATTTTCTCCAGAAAGAATACCGTATTTTTCAGATTATAAGACGGATCGGAGTATAAGACGCACCAAGATTTTGAAGGGGCAAATTAAAAAAAAATGTTTTTGCACTCTGCAGACCTCCCAAAAATGGCCCGTTTTTTTTGTCCCCCCAAAAAACCATTCACGGCCTTTAGGAGGCTTATAGAGTGCTCCTAGGGCCTTGGGGGGGGGGAGGAAAAATTGGCCTGTTTTTCGCTCATTTTTCCCCTCCCCAGCCCCCAGGAGCTCTCTGGAAGCCTCCTAAAGGCTATGCACAGCCATTTTGGTGAAGGGGTGGGGATTCAGGAGGGCAAAATTGCTGTATTCAGTGTAAAAGACACGCCCAGAGTTTCAGCCCCTTTTTTGAGGTAAAAAGGTGTGTCTTACATTCTGAAAAATACAGTAATGTGCTGGCTGAAAAAAAAGGAAGAAATGATCAAGAGAGAAATTAAGTTATTTAAACCAAGTCCACACCAGAGGCACTATTCCAATGCTAGTGCAGAATTAGATCTGCTTAAGATTGATTTTATTAATGACCAAAACATGGAATTCATTTCCTTGTTTACCCTCTTGTGTTTTCTAAAATTATTGACTTCAATATTTTAACTATTTCAGTCAACTTAGTATTAACTCAGCTGCTGCAGACTAGTTTGTCTTTTCAAATTATTTTCATTTTGATAGTTCTTTTTGAATAAGACTAAATAACTTCAAATAAAATCCAATGTGATATTTCTAATTGAAGATATTTCTACAAACATATTTAGAAAGTTTGTCATGAACCCAGAATATCAATGACGATATAATATTGTGTTTTCCCGAAATATGGCCTTGGGCTTATTATAGGGGGAGGGCTTATTGTTTTGGGGTTTCTGGGTGGCTGCTCTCTTGCGAGTGGGCTCCCGAAGAGCTGGGCACAGCCTCAGAGGCGAAGCAACCATGAGGTGACCACGCTCATGAGCAGCCGCCCAGCAAACCCCCTCTCCAGCCGGGCAGAGCGACATTCACTGACCTAGGGGGTATCCCTAGGCGCCAAGCCACATGGTGCTCTGCTCGCCCGGCAGCTCTCATGGCTTGGCACATTAGGGTACCCCCTAGGTCAGTGCATGGAGCTCTGCCTGGCTGGAGAGGGGGGTTGTGCGAGTGCCTGTTCTGCCCCAAGCAAGCATACCTCCCAGCCTCACCATGCCCTGGCCCAGCTCTCCCTGCAGGGTCAGGGCGCTGTCGCCGCGCTCTGAGCATAACTTCTTCTCTGGCTTCCAAACTCCAAAACTCGGCTGCCGAGTCTTCCAGCAGCGGCCACTCTAGGAGTCTGCTCTATGATGGTGGACTGGCTGCTGGAAGATTTTCTGTCCAGAAGACTCTCTGTCCAGCCAGGCAGAACGCTACTCCCCACCTTAGCGATATCCCAAAGGCGGCAAGCAAGGGGGCTTATTTTCGGGGGTGGGCTTATATTTTTGCCCACGCAAAAAATGTGGCAAGGCATTAGTTTCAGGACAGGTCGTATTTTCAGGGGGAAATGATATATGTAGTCATTAGAAGACTTGACAAAGTCAGCAATGGTCTGCTTTAATATTTGTCACCTAATCAGATTAAATGTTAAGAAAGAGAAAGAGAAGGAAACCATTAAAAGGTAATAATAATAATAAAGAGAATGTTCATTCAACATGACTATTTTTCATGTATCTTGCTTTTTTACATAGTGTCACTACTCAGTGAAGAAGGCAGCTTCCTTTTTGGGAATTGGCACACAAAATGTTTACTTTGTCAAAAGTGATGACAGGTAAGGACTCTAGCACATTGAAGTGATCCTATCCATTTTACAATGCAGTATTGCAGTAAACAATTAACTTGTTGGAAATAACTAAATAGTTTTACATCTGTGTCCCATAGAGGTAAAATGATTCCTGAGGAACTGGAGAAACAAGTCCAGCTGGCAAGGAATGAGGTGAGAAGGCGAGAGAGTGTAAGAGTCTATATGTGAATTTTGAGAATGGTAAACCTTTGGGTACTTTGCTTGAAGTTGGGTAGAAAAGGAGAGTAAATGGAAGTTAAAACAGTATAATACATATGAGACAATGTGTTTGGTCTACAGATTGGTCAGTGGGTAAAGCTTTGCTTTACTTTGAAGTATCCCTTCAAAATTGCAACATAATACAACCTCCTTCCCCCTTTTACTAGTCAAAATGCTTTACATTGTATCATTCAACACTTAATAGCTGAAAAGGTTGAAGAAGGAGGCTGTCTCAGCAGCTTATAATGCTTTAGTAATACAGCTTGAACTGTTATAGTATAGGTGAAGCATTTAACCTTGCACAGATCTGTTGCATTAAGTCACATTTTGAAGACTTTGATTTACAGAGGATCAAAATGCTGGGTATGTTTACAGTATGTTAGAGGCTTCAGAACTTTAAAGATCTTTATGTTCTACCCCTACAACTACTGTCCACCCTAGTTCATTTTTTGAATTCTTTTGATGTTAGGAAAACTATAGAAAGAAAGCATAGGTTCTTGCTTTAGCTTTATATTTTATTGTAATCCATAAGGATAAGGAAGAGCTGACTCTGAATTCTAGTTCATTTCTTTCAGCCTTGATATTATTTTCTTATTTCAAAAGAGTCTCAAATTGGCATTGAAAATGGCCAATATTGCAGCTCTAAACTCTTCTTGTTGTTTATTTCATTGGCAGTGTCAAAGATAAGGAATATGTCGCTTTAAGATTGTTGAGAATGTCTTTAACGTTGTTCGTTATTTGATCAGAAATTTCATCCAATTTGAACAGATATTACAAATAAGAAATAAAAGTGCAACCTGCCTATTTTTGAAAAGCAAGTCAGTTTTTCTGTCTTGTATTAAATAACTATTCATTCTATTCATTGTGCAAAGAAAATGTCAATAAAACTTTTATTTCTTTAAATGAAAATATTTGCAGGAGTGTTCTATAATTTCTCCAAGGTAGCCATGTGAAGATGTCACAATAGAAACGTCTGGAAATCCCAAGTTACTCTAAAAATGATATAATGTCTATACTAATAGCTATAGAAATATAAGCACAAGAAATATATTGTCTTTAAAGATCTCAGAGTTTTGTGGTGTGAAGAACTGAATACGATCACAGATCAGTTTCAAATTGCTTTAGGAAGCAAAAATACAAGGCTGTTTTCATGCTTTTTAAAATTTGTAAGAGGTTAGTTTGACCTAACATGAAGTGTGGAGACAAAAAAGAGAGTGGAATTTTCTAATACACAGAATGTCTATTTTCCCCATTGACATTATGTCAGTATCATTGAAGCATTTAAAAATATTCACCAGTGAAAACATATCTGACAATTTTTTCAGCTAGCTTCAGGATTGCAAGCCATAGGGAAAACACAATTTTTATAATACAAGCTTACTGCTCTCCCTATCTACTGCTAAAATTAAGCTTAAAAACCTATTTAAAGTTATATCAGAGTTGGAAGAATTCTGTTTAATGGGATTTATGAAGCCATTTTTCTGGTTTCAGAATATATTATTTTGCATCTATGTTTAAATATGTCATATTTAAGTTTGTAAATCAAAAGTTATTCTAATCAATAATTCAGTGCAATGAAAACAGACATATTGTCTTGGGAGGATAATTTTCATTTATTTGATGTTTTTGCTTTAGGCTTTTGGAATGAGACTATTTTGTTATTTTATAGAAGTACCTGAGTGCAAATCCTGAGTATTGCAGATGGCTGTGTCAAAAACAAACTAAATACTAAAAAAAGGAAGGATAACATATAAATGAGGATAACATTGAAGTTAGTTGAATAACACAAATTTAGAGTAATGTGGTAACAACCCCTAGAACATCAATTATAGGTATTCCTATCCTGAACTTGATATTTGGAAGGATTAAAAGTTTGATTATGGTTTTATTCATTTCAGGTCAAGTTTTCAGAACCTGGTGAACATTCACATTGATTTCATAAACCACTGTTTCTTCCCCTAACTTTCTTTTTCAAGACCACTTATTGTGCCAGTAGCTGTTAATGAATTCCTTCTGAATATAGATATAACTGCAGAGTCCACACATCATTTGGTTCCATATAATAATTCTAACATGTACAGTGGTTTGTAATGTGGGATTAAATTACCAATTACCTCTGATTCCTCTTTTGGATCCATTTTTTTCTTAAGAAACTCCTGTGGCATTATTTCGGGATTCAGTCAGGCTGCATCCAGGGTTAAATGTGAAGTTTGTGTACTTTCAGTAATTACATTCACTCATTGCTCATTCTACTGTCATTCTTCATCTACCCTTGTCCTTCCATATTGATAGGGATATACAGCAGTTGCTTGATTTGTTATTTATTTATAAATAACAATTTTTTATTCCTTTTAATAATTGAAAAGCTGTATGCAGTTCAATTATGCTAAAAATAAACCACTTGGTTTTAAAACTTTTATAATTAAAATTGGATAAGTCTACCAACTTCTCACACAAATAGAATCATATAATTGGAAAGAACTTAGATCATCAAATCCAACTCCCTGATCAGCACAGGAATTCAAATTAAAGTGTTTCTTAACCTCCCTTGAACCTAATTAAGCATTTTTTCTCTCCTAATGTTTAGTTAGAATTTCCTGTAACTTAAACGTGTAATCCTATGCCACACATTCTGGAATGCTGAAAGGATATATGTGTGTATACATGTCAATCTGTGTGTCAAAAAAAGCATCATGATCTTGTCTGTTTTAACTTTTTTCTTCAATGGATTCTGCTGTTGACTGTCTTCTGTGATAGAAGAACAGATACGAAAGTATTTTCACTCTCTTCAAAGATAAATATTTCCAATGTCTTTAATCTTCTTCTGGGGACTTATTTTCTTAGTCCTGATCATTCTCATTGCATGTCTCTAAATATGTTCCAATTTTTCTAAATCCTTTTTAATGCGGGATTCCCAGAACTAGGCACAATATTCAGAGTGAGCTTTGACCAATAGAGAATAAAAAGAAACTATAATTTCTTACTATCATTTACATTCCTAATTATATTCCCATAATTACATATTATCTTATTGTTTATACAGCCTAATATTATATTGCTGTTTTAAAAGTAATTTACCCTGGCAGATTCATATTCAGCTTGTAATAAACTACTATTTCAAGCTCTTTTTCAAGTTTTATTACCAAGCTAATTTGACTCAGTCTGCATTTGATTTTTGTTTCCTAAGACCACTTCTTTTTTCTATGAAGTTTAATTTGAATTTTATTTCTGTTCAGCTAATTTTTGTGTTGTGTATTATTATTAATATTATTAATATTGTTATTAATAATATTGTTGTTGTTATTGTTGTACTATCAAGCAGATATTTACCAGTAGATTGAATTTGGCACTTTTGTCATTGAGTCTTTCTCAAAGACCTGAAATAAGATGTTATTTTAATAATATTAAAAATATTATCACAAAATAAGATGTTATTTTAATAATATTAAAAATATTATCCCAAGATGAAAACTGTTCCAAGTAAAGGTATTTTTTGCAATTGACTGATAGTGATTTTTCAGTGCTGACTTCTACTTTTACTCTATTCTTTCTGAGTACCATCCAAGATTATTCCTGTATGGCACCTAATGTACTGATAACCTGTGGGAAAATCGTGGGCAGTTTATGCCATAACCTTTCAAATTTAATTTTCAAATTTTGATACATTTTGATCTTCTCCAATTCTGTGTCTTCTATTCAACTAACTCCTGGTATTGCCACATCAATTATTCACAGTCTCTGATTTCCAACCACAGTCAAAACTGATGTGTTATGAGCCAAGTTTTTATTAGTTTCTATTTGGAAATACCAGAATACTTTAACTTGCTGTAGGTTGTATTGGTTCCAATCTATTTAAATTCCATTTATTAACAATGCGGGAACCAAAAATGTCATAGTTATTTAATGTAGCTTAGGATTTATCTTTTACAAGTAAATAATATATCAATCCTTAAACCATAATTTTATTTTTATTTGATTATGTCCTCTTTGAAAAGGCATGGTATGTTCATGCTGCAATTGGATTTTTGTTTTGTTTTGTTTTGATTTGGGAACATGGTGATTTAGACTGATCTTGGCAGAGTGGAATTTTAACACAGTATGGGTTTCCTTAGCATCTATGTGGACATAAATACAAATTGATTTTCCATGCACCATTCTCACAGATTCTTTAGCAATATTCATTAAGAAAAAAAAGGATGAAGTTACAGGAATTCTGCCAACTAAAGGGTTTATCTTCTACAACTAATATATTCCAAAGTACATGAAAGCAGCCTTTGTCTTTTCCTTTTTTAAAAAACTCATGTTCTCTGGGTTGGTAAACAAAAAAAAACTTTATGGGTTACCAATGAGCTTGCAGATTGATTAGGAGGAAGAAAATATTATGTGTATTATTTTATAAATGTGTGTATCAATCTGGGATACATCTCCAATTAAAGAAAGAATTGGCTTGCTTTGGATTGAAGAACCAAGACACTATAGATCTGTGAATGAGCACCAATAATTGGCAGTGGATTCTTTGACATCCCAGTATTTTAGTAATCTAGGCTTTAGATATGTAATTTTAAAGATCATTTCTTTGGCGAGAAGCTGGCTGTTATTATTATTTTTGCAAAAAATGTAAAATATAATATAAAATATAAAATAAGATTTCTAAATCTCACTATATTCTATGTAATATACTTTCTAGAGAATTGTAAACAACCTTTATTTCTCTAGGGTTCTGCACCATTTTTTGTCAGTGCTACAGCTGGTACCACCGTTTTGGGAGCATTTGATCCTTTGAATGAGATAGCTGACATATGTGAAAAACACAATCTTTGGCTGCATGTTGATGTAAGTTAATTTTAATAGCAGTGGACTTTTTTCATTTATTCTCATACTTCTTTTTCTTGCAGAAGAATTTTCACAAATTAAAATGCTGAAAAAGTTGGGATAATATTTTCTGATTAATTAATGGAGTCCTGAAAACATAATTTTATTTGTTTGTTTGTTTTTTGTAAAAACTCTCTTCTCCCCAAGAATTAACAGCACTGTTTTGGTGGAAAGATAATGTCTTTAGGCAAAGCTGCCCAATGTGTAAAATTTTCAGTCCCAAGACTTAAGAATATAGCTGCTATACTGTATGTTTTGGTTTATCTATTTTGTCAGATTCCTTACTTTAATTATATATATATATATATATATATATATATATAGATATATATATATATATATATATAGATAGATAGATAGATAGATAGATAGATAGATAGATAGATAGATAGATAGATTGATTCCAGATTTTGTGAAAGATTATGTTGGCTTTGGCATTTTTTAAATACAGTCTTTCTAAAACAGACATCTATCAACTATGCTTGAATACAGCATTCCTTTTGGTAAGAAATTCTGGAGATGCAGTGCTAACTGGAAGATGCCAGTTTACATACAACTGCCTTTATTGCTTTACTTACTCTATTAAAATATTCATTTATTGTTAAGCAAGGGACTTCTTAGATCCCCTACAGATGCCTTTCCTAATCTGGGGGATCCCTCTTCCTCCTCTTCTTCTTTCAATATTTCTCTTTTCTTTCAAAAAAAAAATCATTCCAGAATTTTAGCAACTCCACATTTTCCCCAAGAGCCATAATCAAAGATGCAGTTTTTATGGTGATTGAAGTTGATCATTTTTTTATTTGTTACTTACGTTAATAAAAACAACTTGCCTTGTTTTTATACTGCTCTGGTAACAATGCAAGGTAAAATAAACATTAAACATAATTTATCCATAATAAAATTAATGTTATTATGTTCTTTTAAACAATGCTTATTTATAGGTACTAGGAATATAATATCCAAGGTTGCAAAGTGAAGTGGGAGGGAGAGATTGTCCTTGATCAGCACAGATCCTCTCATTATCCGATATACACAAATAGGAAGAAAAAGAAAAGAAATGACATCCACCAGATGTCTCGTCAAAACTAAAAAAATTCATAAAGGGATCTGCATAGGGATTTGCATGTAGAGCCTCTTCAGAATGGTCTCTTGCCAATGTCACCTGTTTCTCTTCTGCCTGAACTATTGTGTTGGTAGGATCTATTTCCAATTTGATTATTTGTTTCTTCCTCTTATGAGAAGAATGTCTGCTGTTAAATGAAGTAATGAACATGGTCAAAATCCCCAAACTTTGCTTTTAAAAGTCAAACATGAAGCTGATTAATTGCATCACTGATCTTAGCCCACTTTAGCGTTATTAGAAATATCATTATCCTACTGTTTAATGCAGTGGTTCCCAAACTTTTTTAGTCCACCGCCTCCTTGGTGCTACAAACTGATCTTCAATGCCCCCCACCCAGTGGTGGAATTCAAATTTTTTTACGACTGGTTCTGTGGGCGTGGCTTGGTGGGCATGGCTGGGGGAGTCATGTGACTGGGCAGTTTGCACAACAGAAGGAAGATAGTAACAGTAAAATTTAAAACTGTAACAATTAATTGCACATTTATTCAAAATCCAATGTAAAAACGTTTGTAGTTAATGTTAATTCAACAAAATTGTTGAACGTGATCCAGTGATACCAGGTTTCAAAGTCTGATAGTCATTTATCAAGAACCTTAATAACTAGTAACTTAGTAAACT